TCTTCCTGCATAAGAATACCTTTTTGGAAAGCAAGACTATGTAAAACTCAATGCACACGTAAGATCTCCTCATCGAATTTTGTGAAATTCCAACGACCTTTAATGAAATAGAGTGAACGCATCTCATATATTTGAACTACGGATAACCTCGAAATTCTTTTTATAAACGATAAACGTTAAACGCTTTTCTGTTGATCAATTATTTCGTATTCATGAATTTTATTTTAGTCACCCTGGATCACACAAGATAAAGAATAGCTAGCCGTTAAATTTTTCCCACTGTTCTATGCGCAGTTCTCATGTATCCATTAAACGCCATTTGCCTTTACCTTTTAAAATAAGTTCTGGTTGAGGGCGGGCTGAAAGCCTTTTTTCGAAAACTACTGTAGGAAAGTAAGTAGCATGGACGTGTTTAATGGTAAAATTGAAGTTTGATATGTGTTGTGTTCACCCTATTTCATTTAAGTTGATGAAGGAATGGTAGTTGATTTTTCCAACAATCGGATTTGTAGAGCTCACTTTTCCTTTGAATTTCACATAGCTTTGCTTTCCTAAAAGGTTCTCTCATCTAGGCTGAAATGGACGGCAGTTTTGTCCTCGTATAGGTCTTATCAACACCCCAAGTGGGAGTCGAAACATGACAATGCAGCCTGTATGCTCGAGACATAAACCACTATGCCACATTGCCACGAATGCCCTTGGCTCACAGAGCAGATGTGAATTTCAAGAAGTGTCAGATATTTTTCATATCGCATTCTGTGTTGGGATTGTCGATGAGGAAAAACTTATATTTGCTATAGCAATCGACGACTACTCACTTACAAAAATGTAAGTTTGCCACATCGAAAAATCCACTAAAAATGTGATATGGAAGAGACTTGACCTTTCTGCCCAGTGATAGTGTGGCACTGCCAAAAACTCAGGTTCAAGTGTTGCTAGGGCAATTGAGGTAATGAGGCGAGGTCGAAACTGCGGTACAGCTTGGATGATAATTACCTTTTGGGAAACAAGTTTAAGCGATGCCTAGTCCTATTATTTTGTGAAAATTCATCTATCACTTCTTCATTATGCCAAAGGAAATAGGATGAATTCAGCTATTTTAGTGATTTTGTGACTTGTTTGAATTCGTTTAAAGCATAATTTAATTGTCAGCATTAAGCTAATCACGCTTGTTGATTTCAATCCAACATCTGGACTTTCTAGACGTTAAAGTGTACCTCATAAAATGAGGTTTAATTGGTGAATATTGTCGCATCCGGCTCTTGTAATGACATTGGTTTGTCGTAAATTTGATAATCCCTTAACCGTGTCCAGGCAAACCACCAATTCGTGCTGCAGTTTCACCGGCACGACGCAAGTTCTTCGAAGAGCCTCCCTCGAGTCAACTGGTCAACGGAGTTGGTGTTCTGGCCGCCAGCTCGGCTCATTCGGTGTCTGCGAAGCCGGACTCATCTGCCGAGGCGACTAGCAGCGGTCGACCTGTGGCTTCCGGCAAGTTCGCTTCCGGCTCCATCGCGTCGTCCCTCAGTCCTGCCTCCGGTCATCTCATACGTCTGGCCGAGTCACACTCGGAACGTCCGAACTCACCAATCAACACATCGCCACACGAAGCGTCTGATGTGATAGGCAAGTCGTCAACTGTCAGTTGCTCAGGTCAAAGTCAACTGACGGTCAAAGGTCAAAAGTCACCTGCTTCGCCTGCCGCTCAATCTGGTGTAGCCACCGGTTCAGTTGCTGTAGGTCGGGGCAAATCGGATGTGAAGACAAGCACCAGTTCGTTGGTGAATCGAATCTCGTCACGTTGGTCGCATCATCATCACGGACACGGTCAATCGTCCAGTAGTCAAGCGGGCGCCTCCAAAAAGACCGCCGTCACCTCCCCCGGCGAAACTGTGTCTGGTGGTAGCAACAACACCAATGCCAATGTCAACAGCAGCATCGTGCATAGTCGAGGGGAGACGGAGCCGATGAAATCGAGCGAGGATGAGTCGACGTCGCGAACTCGAGGCCAGGCAACAAAGGAGGCCGAGACGGTGGGAAAAGCGACTTCGCGAAAACAGATGACCATGGCCGTGGTGGCCACTGTCACGATCGCCAGTCCCACGTCGGACTCGGCTGCAGAACCGGTGCGAAAAGCGTCGAGAACAGCCTCCATCACCAGCATTTCACCCTCAATCATGGCGCTGAGACAAAAGTTCTCAGTGGCCGCCGGTGATGGAGGTGATTCTAAAAAGAAATAAATTCTTCCATCTCAACTGAACGGTCAATTGAAAAATTGGTTTCTCAACTCATCTACCGCATACGACTCTTCCGTTTTCTTTTGAGCAGACAGTACCGATTAACTGTCGCCTTTGAGCATTAAGGTCTGTTGTCTCACATCAAAGGATGCTCACATTTACACAAATTTGGCAGGTTCGGTATGCCATTCGAGCCTCCTGTTTTGGCTGAGGAAGAGTGCGATCGGTAGAAAGTTGAGAAGGTGAAAGTTTGAGCCAATTGTATGGAAACAGTTGCCTTCATTTTCTCCCATTTTCCCACTTTCTCTACAACCCTGGCCAGTCTCCGTCTTTCCACCTGCCTCGGAGCATGGCTGATCCGAGACACATCTGTTGCCTACAGTCGCCTCGAGTTGTATTGTCGGCTAACTTTTGTTTTATAATGCAGTTTTATACGATCAAATGATGTTTTGTTCGTTCTTTCACAGTCGTTTTAAGCTCTCCCATTTCGCTTTTTATTTTGCCTCTCGTCTGTCTCGCTTATTCGCATGCCTGATCGTCTGCCAGGTCTGTTTGTTGGTTATTGTATTCCGTGGCCTCAGTTGGTGTTCCAGTTGATCTAGCAGTTTTCTTCGAGTACATCCACTTGTTCTCTTCACCTTTAGCTTCTGTACTCACACTCGTTCGTCAACAAGTTCTCATTTCTCAAGAGTTGTACAATAATCAAATGCCCGCAACTGATGAAGCAATGCATACACTTCTATGCTTTTAAGGGATATTTTGGTTTTGCTAACATTCTCAGGTGTAAACGTCTATTTTTCAACGCATTTATCGTCTCTGCTCTCAACGCCTTCTCTGCCAATTCAGACAGTAGATCGGCTTGGCAGAAGTTGAAACCATGCTTGTTTCAGAAGCAGCATTTCTATTGCGGTTGTTCAAGAGAAGAAACAGTCCAACTGGTACATTGAAGACACTTTTGCAAGCCAATCTAGTCAGTTTTTCTGCTATTTTGCTGCAATCTTCAACGAACCTTCATTGTCTAGTTATTCCGATATCTCTCAGTTCAGATGAGAAAAGCTAACGCAGACAATCAGAGATTTCT